CTCAGCAGGTCGTCCAATTCATGTCACAAATGGATGTTCCATCCCAACAAGATTCAGCCTGTGGGGGGACTCCAGATGTGGATCTCTTTGCTAACCTGGCAAACTAACAATGCGGCTGCTTCTGTTCCAGGACTCAAAGGGGGGGGGGGATCGCCCAGCAATACCTTCCTCTTCAGCTGAAACAGATGGCTGCTGTATGCTTTCCTACCATTCCCACTGATCACCAAGTTAGTGTCAAAGCTTGCAAACAGCAAACACCATTCTAATAACAACATGGTGACTGAGGCAGCCTTGATTCATGCTGCTTCTCCATCTGTCTTGAAGGACTTATGTTCATCTACTCCTCCATCCCAATCTCCTCACAACAGGCTGAATCAATATCCAGATTTGAAGACTTACGGTTGACAGCATGAAGGATTTGTTCCTTGACTTGTTTACCTGACATTGTGCATATCAGAGCAGCTCATGGGCCATCAACTCAGAGATCCTACTCCTATAGTTGGAAAAAGTTTGTGTCCTTTCATACATCCAGAGGGTTCTCTCCATCCTGAGCTCAGATTCAACACATCTTCAAATTCTTGCTCTCCCTGTCTGATTCTGGTCTCTTCCTGTTGCCACTATGATGTTATCTTTCATCCACCTCCTTCCATTTCCATTCTTCCAAAGGCCATTCTTTCTGTTTTCAAGTTCCTTTGATAAAGAGGTTTTTTGAAGTAGAAGAATGTACACCCTCCAGTGCTGAGACAGGCCCCTGCTTGGAGTCTAGAACTTGGGTTATCACAGTTAACCAGGAAGCCCTTCAAACCAGTGACATCATGTGATAGTAGCTTACTTACCTGGAAGACTGTCTTCCTTGTTGTCATAACCTCTGCAAGGATAGCGTGTGGACCAATTTTACCTGCTCTTTCATTGAGACAGGGTTGTATATTCCACCCTGACATTTCCTTCCTCCTGAAAGTTTTATCTTTCTTTCACCTGAATTTTTTGCCAGCTTTCATACAGAACTCTGCTTCGGACTTCTTATGAACTCTACATCCCCACAGTGTTCATAGGACCCTTGCCTTTCATCTCGACCAGCCATCAAATTCAAGAAAGTATACCAGAGTAATGAATACGATACTCAGATTTGAAACTAGGTCAACAGGTATCGGCACAGTGCTTCTCAAAGTGGATGGTTTAAACTGTATACCTTGTTATGAACTAGCTAAAAAAGAACCACCTGTTCAAATTCATGCATATTCTGCCAGAGAAGTAGCTACTGCTTCTTCTTTCCTGAGTAGTATACCACTAGATGATGTATGTAGGGTTGCTGTGTGATCACTACAGACTAGATCAGGGGTCGGCAACCTACAGGCCGCACCCGGCCCGCCGACCCCCGCTGACCATCCACTGCTGCGCGCTCCCGCCACCGCACATGCCACGGCCGCCATTTTGTTTGCCAAAATGGTGGCTGCAACGCGCGCTGCGGCTGGCAGCGGGCACACGTGTGTGCGCACATGAGCACACGCACCGCCATCCCCCCCCTCAGCCTGGCAGAAGACCTGGGGACCAGCAACTGGCCCCAGGTATGTTAACGTTGCCGACCCCTGGACTAGATGCTTGGTCCAGAAGTGATGCAACCTGGGGGAGGGGTAGTTTTACATGTTTGCAATAAAAGTTACTATTTTGTATGCTCTCCAGGTATGAGCAATATTGTTACATTTTAATAAACTTCTCTGTTTAATTGTTAGATATTTCTCTTTCTTGCATGACAGTCCCGCCTCTATGTGTGATTAGTTTCCTAGTCTCGGTCATATGTGTCAGAGAGACTACGAAGGAGGACAGGTTGCATACCTGTAAATGTAGTTCTTCAAGTGGTCATCTGTGAATTGACAGAAATCTATCCATCTTCCCCTCTTCTGTGTCCTGCATCTTTGATTTTTGGAAACTAGAATCATAGAATTATAGAGTTGGAAGAGACCACAAGGGCCATCCAGTCCAACCCCCTGCCATGCAGGTAAATGAGCAGGAACAGTGAGGGACAGAGCTAAGGGTGGGTGGAGCTACAGCCAAAAAAGCTTATACAGTTGGCCCTCTATGTCCACAGATTTTTTATCCACGGATTCAAGCATCCACAGATTGAAAATATTCCAAAAATATATAAATTCCAAAAAGCAAACCTTGATTTTGCATTTTTATACAAGGGACACCATTTTTCTAAGCTATTGTATGTAATGAACTTGAGCATCCATGGATTTTGGTATCCACAGGGGATCCTGGAACCAAACCCCAGCAGATACCAAGGGCCCACTGTATAACTATTTTAGAAGGTCCTGAAGATGAACTCTGCAGGCCCAGAATACCCCCAATTGTGTGAGTTTGCAGATGACAGTTCAGAGAACCACAGTTACAGGTATGCAACCTGTCTTCCTTCAGTCCTAAGATTTTCATGCAATATATTCTCATTCTTTGTTTAAATGATGTACCATATTTTGTTGCTGTTAACTAGCGTCGAGTCAACTTTGTCTTATGTCAACCCTATGAATGAGAAATGTTTGAGTCACCCTATCATCAAAAGCCCTGCTCAAGTCTTGCAGACTCAGGGCCATGGCTTGCTTCATTGAGTGTATCCATCTGGAATGCAGTCTTTCTCTTTTCCTACCATCTTTTACCTTAAAAAACATTACTGTCTCTTCTAGTGAGTCATGCTGTTAATGTTGTACTGTTTTTAAATTATATTGTTTTAAATCTGCTGTTCACCACTTTTAGTCCCTATATTGGGAGGAAGATGGGATATAAAATAATAATAATAATAATAATAATAATAATAATAATAATAATAATAATAATAATGCCTTCTCATGATATGGCCAAAGCATAATAGTCTTAGTTTAATCATCTTGGCTTCTTGTTTAGTTTAGTTAGTATTAAAATGTTATCATTTAGGAAAGCAATATGCCTAGAAATTAGAGGAATTGATTCCTCACCACTGCTGTTTATATTTTATTAATAATATATCAGTCACCATTTGTTCTTATCTGAAAAAATTCACATAGGTGTATTTAAGTATATTTTAGGAAGAAATAGGATATAGCAGCTCATGCCCGTAGCTACTTTTAAACTGTGGTAACAAGTTGGATTTTGGCTGTAATTTCTAACTGAGAATATTGCCTTTCAGATGTGAAGGCAACAATGTACGAAAAGATGACGACTATCAAAGTGCAGTGGAGAGGCTGATTCAAGCTGCTCGCATATCTACTCCAAGGCTTTTCATAAAGCATTTGACAGTAAATATTAACAGGGAACAAGTTTACAGTTTAGAATATGCTTCTGTACTTAAGTGGTTGAAAGAGAATATGAAATGGGCAGGGAAAGTCTGGCTTTTTTAGTCACTTGTTAAGACTTCAGTTAACAATAATCATTGTTCAAAACAGTAACTCAATAAAGATTGTTTCTGTTGTGTTCACACTCTTCTCATAATTTTTATAATTCAGTGTTTCAATTTCCAATATATGAAACATTACAGAAAGGGGCATTCTTGAAGTCATTATTAGATTAGATTAGCTTTTCTGCTTTCATCATATGGAAAAAACAAAAAGGTAGTGGAGCAACCAAGAGTGTGAATATGGGACTGCTCCATCACTGATGCAATGATTTTGCATTAGACAACCAAGGATCACAGATAACCTGTGTGGTAAAGATCTTTGAATGCTTTGGGGACGGTTTTGTATTGATAGATACTTTATTTGAAAAATGCAGAATAAAAAGATTAATTTAGGGGGGCTGCAGACTGCCAGAAATAGTGCAAATTGAGTCCACTTTTAGAGTTAGGGTTAGTGCTAGGGAATCATGGAAACTGTATTTTATTGTGGCACCAGAGCTCTCTGACAGAGAAGGCTCAATGTCTCAGGAAAAAAAACAATTCCCATGATTCCCTAGCACTAACCCTAAAAGTGGACTCAATTTGCACTATTTCTGGCAGTCTGCAACCCCCCTTAGTGACTTCACAAGCACATTTTTGCAAACCAGTTTTGCACAGCTGTAGCATGGAAAATGATTATTTTCACTGCCACCATCTTTCACTGCTGGTGGTTGAAAACATTTGACAGATCTAAATATTATAAATATTCAGGACGAAAACAAAGATGAGTTTGAAAAGGTTTTACTAGAAACAATAGTCAAGAAACAAGACAATATGATAAGGAACTTAGGGAGGCAACATTTTATGGCAGGGATAGGCAACCTTTTTGAGCCGGGGGCCGGGTTGCTGTCCCTCAGACAATTGGGGGGCCGAAGCACCATAAATAAATAAATATAAAAATTTAAAATTTAAAAAATATGCATGCACACTCTCTCAGCTCCAGAAAAGCCATGGCAAAACCCCTGTGGAGATTTTGCCAAGAAAACCCCAAGAACAAGTAATAACAACAATAATCAATATCATCATGGCGGGGGGGCGGCGGCAGGACTGGCCTGGGGCCAGTCCAAAGGCCTCGGGGGGGCCGCATCTGGCCCCCGGGCCTTAGGTTGCCTACCCCTGTTTTATGGTACTGTATTAGATTTAGCTGATTTCATGTTTTTAGTTTGTGAAATCAAGTGTTTTAAGTTCAAGGCTACAATCTTTGGTTGCATTTCACCTGTCATCAGCCATATTTGCATATATGATGCCAGGAACAATGTACAGGACAGCTGTTGGCAACATATAGCAGACCATCTTCATAGCTCCCATCATCTTTGATCTTTGCTTGTACTGAGGGGAGGAGGAACCAAACTACATCTGGCTATATTTGGTAGAAAACTCAGTAGAGTTGTGCCCTTGGCAATAACAGACGGTCTCATTTTGAAACCTATAATGTTTGGTAGTAGAAGGCCTTTCCTTGCGGCAGTGAAGGCTGGCTTGTGGTCAGCGTTTATTGCCCTTCTCACCAGCCCTGAAAATGAAAATAAATTCAGGGGCTGAACCCTTGCTTCTACCACAGGGTACAGTTTAGGACATGTTGAATTAGTAGCACATAATTAGAACCAGTGTGGCATAGTGGTTTGAGCTTTGGACTATGACTCTGGAGACCAGGGTTCGAATGCCCTGGGTGGCCTTGGGGAAGCCACACACTCTCAGCCTCAGAGGATGGCCTTGACAAACCCCCTCTGAAGAAACACGCCAAGAAAACCCCATGGTAGATTTCACCTTATGTCGGAAGCAACTTGAGGGCAATACAACAACAAAACAGAATATAAACTTAGGGGTAGATCAGCTGCAAAATAACCCACATTGCCTGGCCTGCGTGACAAACGCGTCCAAACAGCAGCACCTTTTCTCTTAGGATGCATCCACACTGAGGAATAATGGCTCAAGGCTATGGAATCCTGGGAATGGTAGCTTTGTCAGACATTTAGCCTTTTCTGTCAGAGAATTGTCTGTTGCCACAACAAACTACAAACCCCAGAATCCCATAGTCGAGCTATGGCAGTTAAGTGTCAATGTTTTGTTGTTGCTGACTGCCCTCGAGTCAACCTCACAGAGACCCTATGGACAAGGCATCTCCAAGATGTCCTCCCTGTCCTCCACTGCTCTGCTTAACCCCTTAATACCTGTGATCTCCTTAATAAGAGTCCATCCATCTGGCATGTGGCCTTCCTCTCTTCCTATTACTCTCCACCTTCCCCAGCATTATTTTTTTCCCCCAAAGAGTCCTCTTTTCTCATGATGTGTCTAAAATACAACAGCCTCAGGGCCTAAGCAGACTGCCAGAAATAGTGCTCAGTGCTAGGGGGTCATGGGAATTGTATTTTTTTCTGAGACATTGAGCCTTCTCTGTCAGAGAGCTCTGGTGCCACAATAAATTACAGTTCCTATGATTCCCTTGCACTGAGCCAGGGCAGTGCCTCAATTTAATGTGCACTATTTCTGGCAGTCTGCTTAGGCCATTAGTTGGTCATTTTGGTTTCCAGCTTGATCTGCTCTAGGACCTATTTGTCCTTTTGGCTGTCCATGGGATCCTCAGAACTATTCTCCAGCACCACATTCTCTCAAATGCATTAACTTTCTTCCTATCATCTATCATAACTGTCCAGCTCTCACATCCATACATGGTAATAGGGAATACAGTGAGTTACATGATGCTGACTTTTTATGCTGAGTTGTATATCTTTGCATTTTAGATTCTTTTCTAGCCATATAAGTTCCCTGCTGGCGCTGAGCAAAGAGAGAAGCCCATCCATTACCCTTGAGGAACGAAGACGCAAGTGGCAGCGATTGCTGCGAGCGCCGGCTTTTAAAACCTCGCCACTGGCTCCGCCTCCGTCCAGTGGGCGGGACCGGTGACGTCGGAAGGCGGTGGTGACGCGCCGCGCGGGCCCCGCCCACCGTGGACCTGCTCTGTCCGCCTCAGGTG